TAACCATTGTAATTATTAGAAGTTTTATTAAAGAAAATTCATTGTTTTTTTTTGTTTATTAAGTTAAAAAGCTAGCAAATAAATATGATTTCATCATGTTTAGTTTAATGGTGCATGTATGATATTAGAATGGCCATGTTTTGTTTCGGATTAAACATTATTTAAGAATTTATTCAGAAATATTCAACTGTGTACATTTTGGTTTACGTGAAACTAAAATATTTGAAATCTCCACAATTGAAAAATATTTACCAAGTTCAGTTTTTGCTAATAATTAACTTTTGTTATACTATCTACTTAAATATGATACAAAACTATCATAATGTCTACTTAAATAGTATACAAAACTATATTTCTCAAAGTGTTATATCTTAATTAGTTATCTTATTAATAAAAATTAGTTTCCAAAACTAGTAACTAAATCGTGTCAATTTTATCGAGTAGATATTTTTTCATGTGTAAAACAAAATTATTGATTAACGATATAAATAAAAAAATCTAATTAAAAAGTAACCTATATATAATATTAAATGATAGACCCTTTCCGAAAACATACGTAAGGGTTTTGATCTCTCATCAGTCTGTCAACATTAACTGTAAAACAATAGAGTCTTGGGGATAAAAGAGTTGGTAATCGTGAGCATTCAAATAAAAAATTGCAACACAACACATATCCAAGCAGAATTTGCAAGAAGAACAATGATACAACACATATCTAAGCTGAAGTTTTGATGTGTGGTTAAGAGATTCGTTGGTTGAGATGGTGAAGAATCTTATAGAGTCTCCGTTATTGATGCACATTTACAAGTAGAGAGGTTAATGGTGTTTTTGATTAACGGCAGAAAATCTGGAGGCAAAAGATTGTCTCGAGAGGAGAGAAAGAGAAATAGAAAAAGTAGAAAATAAGGTGGTGACAAGAGAGAGCACCATTAACCTTCACAAGCATTCACATACGGTACGTTTAAGAAGAAAGCTCCGAAACGACAAAGGAGTTGTGAAAGGAGAATTCTGAAACGTTATTCGAAGAAGAGTCGTGATAGTGATCAAAGTGAGACACCAAACAATAATGGAGCATACACCAGTTGAAAATTTAACTGAAGACAAAGTGGATAAGATGCACGCGAAAACATCATGGAGATTATATGGTTATCAAATAAAGACACCAAAAACAAGGATAATTACCTCAGAGAAAAATGGAGCATAATTTGGTTATAGAGATAGCAAATGCAAACATGAAGAAATTTACGCAGAAATTTGGTGATCAAGAAGAAACTAAAAGGAAATAAGAAGAAAGCTACTTAAAAGAAAGTGAGTAGAACAAGGTTGGAAGAACAAGGGTCACAATTGGTGGGACTTCGTGACCAAACTGAAATATATATTGAGCTCTTATCATTCACGAGTTTGTACTTAGCTAGAAACTTCAAGCATACATCGAGAATAAGCAACATGTTGTTGTTACCTTGTATGCTAATTCTCCAATGGCTATACAAGCATTGTTTGCAGAAGCAAGTTTTTCGCTATTAAAAATTCCACTCTATAGAAATCACAAATACAATAGCTAATCATAAATACGATCAAAATTATGTACCTATTCTATTTGTTTTACATGAGTTTTGGTTTTTATTTGTAGTCTTTTACGGAATCTAGCTAAACCAAATTTTGTTTAGATTCTATTAGTAGCAAATAATTTTACCTTTTATATCAATTTATTATCACTTTAATAACAAATCTTATTAAAGGTTAGGGTCGATGCAGTTAGGGTCGATGCGGTGCAGCGCCAGCGCACCAATAACTTACATGGTGGGCCAGAGGGCTGCGGGTCAGATTGGGCACACAGGATAGAGGTTATGGTCGATGTGCTGCAGTGCCAGCAGTTGGGTCCCACGTGGCGGGTTGTTACAGTTTCTATCTTGAATTCTAATCACTAAACTATTTGGTGTGTGTTTCTTGAAATCTTTGGTAGATTCTTCCATGTAAATACATTAGAGATAACAACATTGATGAGCTTATCAAGATAACTATTGTGGGTAAAGCTAAGATGATTTTGTGGGGATTTCGAACATAAAGAGATGAAACAATAGCTATTGGATTTGGTTGGAAAAAATTATGTAAGGTGAATGGCATAAACATAGGAGATTCAATTACATTAGAGTTCATAAATCATAAAGAAGACACAACTCCGATGTTTAATATACGTCCTAACTCCCAAAGCTAAAAGAAGATGTTCGTAGCATAATTAAGCATTGTAAGTGCTAGAACTTTTATTCAAGAAAGTATGTTTTTTTCTTTTTATTAAGTTAAAAAGCTAACAAATAAATATTATTTCATCCTGCTTAGTTTATTGGTGCATGTTTATGTGATTAGAATGGCTATGTTTTGTTTCAAATTAAATTTTTATTTGTGAATTAATTATAACATATTCAATTGTGTACATTTTGGTTATGTGAAACTAAGATATTTGAAATCTCCAAGAAAGAATAATATATGTCCAGTTTTATTTCAGCTATTAACTTTTGTTATACTATCTACTTAAATAGTATATAAAACTATCTTTCTCAAAGCGGTATACTTTAATAGTTATCTTCTTAAATAAATTTAGTTTTCAAAACTAGTAACTAACGTGATCGTGTCAATTTTTATCGATTAGATAATTTCATGTGTAAAACAAAATTTTTGATCAACGACATAAAAAAAAAAAACACATACGTAAAGGTTTTGATCTTATTGCATCTTATAGAGGTTTTGATTAAAGGAAGCAAATCTGGGGGCAAAAGATTGGTGAGAGATGAGCAAAAGAGAAATAGAAAAAGAACAAAAAGAAGGTGGTGAGAAGAGAGAGTACTATTAACCTTCACAAACATTCACATACAATACATTTAAGAAGAAAGCTTCAAAGCAATAAAGGAGAATATGGATGTGATGTGGAAGGAGAATTGATAAGTCTGTATTTCATCACTTTTTGAGCATGCATTCATCATCTTTTCAGCATCATTCACTTGTTGGTTCGCATCATATTGATCACCTTTTGTATGTTTTGCATACTTAGGTAGGTTTTGTGCATGTCATGCATATCTTGCATACATTCGCATATTGGAGTGTTTCAGGTACTAAGCAGACATGCAGCACAAAGCAGAGGAACAAGTATCACTCGACATGCACACGATCGAGTAGGATGTTCGAGTAGGCAGCAGAGATACATTGCAAATACATCGACGATCGAGTGAGCAGCAGACGTATACGATCGAGTAGCAGATCGAGCAGAAGGGACGCGAAGCAGAACCACCTGTCACTCGATGCACACACTCGAGTGACATGATCGAGCAAAGCAAAGAAGTAGCTGATGATTTCATAGATCACTCGACACATTCACTCGAGATACGTATGAAATGATGCAGAGAAGAAATTAAGTGTTACTCGACACGCTCACTCGACCGACAGGGCCATTACAACTTTTAAACCGCTTTTACGTTGTCGTTTTATGTTTTAAAGTTTTCTCAAACATTGTTATAAATAGGTCTCATTTGGTTTGCCCAAGGGATCGAGTTTTTATTAGGTTTTTGTTGTTAGCCACCAAACAATCCAGAAAATTGTAATTCATATTTCTTTTGAGTTATTGAGATTTTGCAACTAGTTCTTGAATCATTGTTGTTACTCTTCCTATCATCCTTATTATTAAGCATGTTTTAAACGATTTGTGTTTGATGATGTTTAACATGATTTCTGCATCTGAGTAATGTTAGGGTTCTTGAGGATGGGATAGATTAGGTGGAGGATGTTAGTTTGCTAGAGTGTTTATGTTAGATTCGTTTTGATTCCCTTCTGGATTAATTAGAGTTTTATTAGCTAGTTCTTCTCTGATCAATTGGAACAGGGTCATAGACATTTCATACCCGAAAGGTATATGATGAAATGTCTTAACCAACTAGTGCCAGAGATTTACATGCTTAGCCCAAGAGATTGGTTGTCTAAGATGTTTATTGACATTAATGAGCTGTTTCTTTATGCATGTTTACTACATGTTTCATCAATGAGAATTGAGATTAGGAAGTGTTGTAAACTTGATAGTTTCTGCCAAGAGATTGGATTGACTAGTATTAGAAGTTCATTGTCTAGGGATTAGAATGTTTGCAGTTTGATAAACACTCGAAGTAGATTAGCATACTCCACCTACATCAATAACCTCATCCTCGGGAGCTTCTATCCATTTGTGCTTTCTGTTTAATTCTCTTGTTATTTACTTGTTCTGCTTTGTTTTCTTGTCAGTATCAATAATCGTTACGTTTTAGCTTATGCATGGTAGTCTACGTTTTACAGCCTTACATTTATCGCATGTTTAACATGTTCACTTAGGATCACTGAAAACCAAAAATCATTAATGCTTGTTTGACTTAATCATTTCTGATATATCTTGATTGCTAGCATCACACCTGATTGGATTGATACCTATTGTACTGCAATGACATGATAGTACTCTAGGGAAATTGATAGCAAAATCCTAGTATCAATTTGGCGCCGCTGCCATTTGGGTGTTTGTTTGTTACATTTAAGATTTCAGACTTGCTAAGATCAAGTTTTTACTCAACATTCAGTACAGTTACTCATTCTGTTCTTTCTGTTTGTCTATTGCTTCAGGTACAACTCTTGCCCAACTGCTCCTATTCGACTGACACACTCAACCGTCTCGCGAGCTAAGTTGATTTGATTTGTATGCACACACGGTCGCAAGGCACAGACAACTTGTTCCAGCCCTCCGACCATATTGATCGCTTGGTACCTGCATCAAGACAGCAACGTAATAGAGTTACACCACCACAAGTGGAGATGGAAAACATTCACAACCTCCTCCACCACGGGCACCTACACGGATTGGAGCTGGTGATGCTCCACGCAACCATACCCATCGTCAGGGTGTAGTGCCTCCAGCCGTGCAGAACAACAACTTTGAGATCAAGAGTGGTCTGATCTCCATGGTCCAGCATAATAAATTTCATGGTCTGTCTATGGAAGACCCCCTGGATCACCTCGATGAGTTTGATCGTCTCACCAAGATCAACGGGGTCAGTGAGGATGGTTTTAAGCTCCGACTCTTCCCATTCTCTCTGGGTGACAAAGCGCATCAATGGGAGAAAACTCTACCTCATGGATCTATCACCTCCCTGGAACAATGCAACCAGTCATTTCTTGCCAAGTTCTTCTCAAACTCCAGAACTGCACGTCTGCGCAATGAGATTTCTGGGTTCACTCAGAAGAATGGTGAAACACTCTGTGAAGCTGGGAGCGCTTCAAAAGTTATCAGTCTCAGTGTCCCCACCATGGCTTCAGCAAAGAGTCTCTCCTCAGTAATCTCTACCGGAGCGTTCTTCCAAAGATCAGGATGTTATTTGACACTGCCAGCAACGGCAACTTTCTGAACAAGGACGTCTACGATGGTTGGGAGCTTGTTGAGAAACTAGCCCAATCTGATGGCAGCTACAATGAAGACTATGATAGAACCATCAGGGCAAGCACAGATCTTGATGAGAAGTACAAGAAGGAGATGAAAGCTGTGAATGATAAGCTGGACAGACTCTTGATGAGCCAGCAAAGGAATGTCCATTTCGTCTCTGAAGAATACCCTTTCCAGATTCCAGATGGGGAGGGAGAACATTCGTAGGAGATAAGCTATGTACAGAATCAAGGTGGATACAACACAGGATACAACTCCTATAAGCAAAACCCCAATATGTCTTATAGGACCACTAACGTTGCAAATCCACAAGACCAAGTATATCCACCTCCACCACAGCAGCAGGGGCAAAACAAGTTATTTGTGCCTTACAACCAAGGTTATGTGCCCAAACAACAGTTTCAGCAAGGTTACCAATCTCCAACTGGACCACCACCAGGATTCCAACCTCAAAAAGCTCCGCCACCTCAGGCACCAGATCATGACATGAAAAACATGCTGCAATAGTTATTGCAAGGACAGACAAGTGGATCTATAGAGTCTGCTAAGAAGTTTGCAGAGATGAATAATAAGATGGACTACACATACAATGCTCTCAATCTCAAGATTGAAGCCTTGACCTCTAGAATGCTTCACCTGGAAAGCAAGAATGCATCTACTTCTTCAGGACAACTCCCAGGGAAAGCCGTCCACAACCCCAAAGAGTTTGCAACATCCCATGCCATCACCTTAAGAGAGTTACCTATTACAAAAAAGTTTTATGGATATCACTGCGGACAGTGAGGATCTAGATGGGGAGGATTTTTCTCCAAATGAAGATTCCACACAACTAATCAAAGTCGATCATGATCCACCTGCCATGGTAAAACATGATGTTCCAAAGAGTAAGGAACCACGTTACATTCCTCCACCCTACACGCCTCCATTACCATTCCCTGAAAGATTCAAGAAAAAAATAATGGAGAAGTATAAAGGACTGCTCGACACACTCGAAGGGACTGAACTAACAAAAGCTTTGGTAGATGCTCATGCAAAGATTCTGTCTTACAATAAAATCTTGAAAGAGGTCCTATTGGGAAGGATTCAAGAGAAGAAGGAAATAACTAAAGATGCTGAGGAGAAAGCTGAGGAAGATGAGAGAGTAAAATCAGTTAACCATGAGTGTTGTGCCATTGTCCATAAAGAGGTTATCCCAAAGAAGCTAGAAGATCCTGGTTCATTTACTTTGCCTTGCACAAAAGGTCCACTATCTTTCAGTAGGTCTCTCTGTGACCTAGGAGCGTCAGTTAGTCTCATGCCTCTCTCTGTGTCTAGAAGGTTAGGTTTTACACAATACAAAACCTGCAACCTATCCCTCATCTTGGCAGACAGAACGGTTAGGGTTCCATATGGCTTGTTGGAAGATCTCCCAGTAAAGATTGGTGAAGTAGAAGTACCAACTGACTTCATTGTTTTGGAGATGGATGATGAGCCTCAAGATCCACTCATCCTAGGAAGACCATTCTTAGCTACAGCAGGAGCAATCATTGATGTCGGAAAAGGGATGATTGATCTCAATCCGGGTAAAAACTTCAAGATGAAGTTTGATATCAAGGACGTCTTGAGTACGCCAACAGTTGATGGGCACACTTTCTCCACTGAAGATGACTCAACTAAGCAAATACTCAAGCAAGGTGTCAAAGAATCTATGGATCCCTCATCGGATGGTTGTTTAGAACTTCGAATTATCAATGTTTTGAAAGATTCAGTGAAAAGGTTAACAACTATGGTCAAGCAAATGGGTGGGCAAATCAAGAAATTCAAAAGAAAAATCAATGGTCCTTGTCCAAGGAGACAGAGTGTGAGTGTAAAGATGAGCAGCAGATCCTGTGATATTGACCTAGGAAAAAGAGGAGGAATGAAATCTCTAAGAATAGAGGGTGCTTCAACACCTCTCTATGAGCCTCCTTAAGCCTAAAAGGCATAAACAGTCAAGCTTAGTGACTTTAAACAAGCTCATTTGGGAGGAAATCCCAAAGTTATCCCTGTAAATACTGCTTAGGATTTCTTGTTATTTTGATTTTTGTTTTTGGTTTTATGTTGGTCAGGACGTCAGACATGTTCATATATGTTCGTCCACGAGTGATGTACTAGCACGCAATAGAACTCCTTCTCCATCAAGACATTCCGCTTATGACTATAGGGCACAATGTTTCTTTCTCTCCTCTAAGACAATCTTCCCATGATCTTAGGGACAGCAAGAAGAAAGAGAAAAGGAAAAAGAAGAATGCAGCAAGGCGGAAAGCAAAGGCGAGCATCACGTTGAGGATTTGACTATGAATCCAGACAAGCATCTCATTGAAGACCGGACTGTTGATCCAGGAGCGTATTATTTTGAAGATCCTAGGGATCCGGTTGTACATCATGTTGAGGATCCGGTCGAGCAGAACGTTGAGCAACTAGTAGAGGCTCCTCCTGTGCAGTCTGCACCAGGCCCTTATACAAGCGAGTCCATGACTACATACCTGGACTGTTATTTTCAGTAAGGTACCACTCCAAACCTTCATTTGTATATACCATTGCATTTTCATACTTTTGTTTGTTTGATTCTCAAACCAACTCTCAAATTTTTATTACACAAGGGACTGTGTAATTTAAGTTTGGGGGAGGGTTTGGGATGACATTTGATGTTGTGTTCTCTTTTTTTATTTCGTATTTTTAGCATATAATTTGCATTCATATATATGCATTGAAAACTCCTAAAAATTTGAAAAGTTTTCAGAAAAAAATCTTTAAAAACAGAGTGATCATGTAGCTTGCATTTGCATACTAGGATTGAGTCTAGATTATTTCATGTAGGACTGTTGCATTAGCATAGGGGGCGATGATGATTTACACCTTGTTAACTTGCTATGATTCACTAGTTGAGATCAATGCCCTGGTATTTAGCTCTTTGATGCATGATGATTGAACTTGAAATAAGTCTGAAACAAACTTGGAATTCATGAAGAGCATTCTTGAACTTGGTTGAAGCATGTTGTGGTATGATCTCATTTCTTACCTTATAAGAACTTAATCTTGACTTGCAAAAATCTGGTTGTGTTTTGCTTGCATGCTCATGGTCACCATATACATATTTGGATCATCTTCCTCCTTTCACCACTCTTGTTGATCCAAGTAGTTGATATTTCTTTTGATCAGTTTGCCATACCCACATCCTTTTCTTTCAAGCCAATTGATAATTTTTGAGTGGTAGGTCTTTTACCGGATTATGCTTGGGGAGAACGTGTTAGGTATGAGCCGACATGATTAAAATCTTGAGTAGTTCTGCTTTTCACTTTCAAATCAGATAGGACTAGGTCTGGATTCTTACTTGGGTTTAGGATTGGAATGATTGTGGAAAGCAAGAAGAGAAACAAAAAACGTTGTGTCCTTAGGATGAGAATGTTTTTCTAGAAGTTTATACTCTAGTGATTGATTTTTATGAAGATAGCATGATATACAGAGAATGGTTATGGGATGTAAAGAAAGAGAAAAAGTTTTGATGTTTTATAACATAAGAAGAAAACAGAACCATAGTAAGGACGAAACCCCCTATCCACTAGTATTGATAAGAAACTTCTCTTAATGCAAAAAGAAAAAAAATGGGATTGATGTTGAAAGGTAGACATAGGAATCATTCGGGTTTAGATGATTAGGAGTAAGCACTTGGGAACCATTGGGTAGTCAACGTTTTATTCCTGTATGCATTTGTTGGTCCTTACCTTTAGCATTCTCCCTAAAGCTCAATCCATTCATTGAGAGATCCTTGTCCTGAAATTGTTTAAACCCTCTTGATTCTCAAATCCTTTTTCTGCCTAGCCAAGTGAGTTTGTTAAGCCTTGCACAACCAGATTCATATTCTTGAGTAATGAATGTTAAAAGGAATGAATGATTTGGAATGCATGTGTAGATCAAGGGATATAATCAGTTTCGGATTTGATGAGTTTGTCTAAAGTGTTTAAGTAAAGTTCTCTCAGCATGCATCAAAGACTTAGCAACCAGGACATTGATTTTAACTGCTCTATCTTGCAAGTTACAGGTTCTGAGACCCCATTTTCAACCCTCTCTTCCACTTTGTTTCTTTTGCTTTGCTTGAGGGCAAGCAAAGACTAAGTTTGGGGGAGTTGATAAGTCTGTATTTCATCACTTTTTGGGCATGCATTCATCATCTTTTCAGCATCATTCACTTGTTGGTTCGCATCATATTGATCACTTTTGCATGTTTTGCATACTTAGGTAGGTTTTGTGCATGTCATGCACATCTTGCATACATTCGCATATTGGAGTGTTTCAGGTACTAAGCAGACATGCATCACAGAGCAGAGGAACAAGTATCACTCGACAGGCACACGATCGAGTAGGATGATCGAGTAGGCAGCAGAGATACATTGCAAATACATCGACGATCGAGTGAGCAGCATATGTATACGATCGAGTAGCAGATCGAGCAGAAGGGACGCGAAGCAGAACCACCTGTCACTCGATGCACACACTCGAGTGACATGATCGAGCAAAGAAAAGAAGTAGCTGATGATTTCACAGATCACTCGATACGTTCACTCAAGATACACGGTCGAGTATGAAATGATGCAGAGAAGAAATTAAGTGTTACTCGACATGCTCACTCGACCGACAGGGCCATTACAACTTTTAAACCGCTTTTACGTTGTCGTTTTATGTTTTAAGGTTTTCCCAAACATTTTTATAAATAGGTCTCATTTGGTTTGCCCAAGGGATCGAGTTTTTATTAGGTTTTTGTTGTTAGCCACCAAACAATCAAGAAAATTGTAATTCATATTTCTTTTGAGTTATTGAAATTTTGCAACTAGTTCTTGAATCATTGTTGTTACTCTTCCTGTCATCTTTATTATTATGCATGTTTTGAACGATTCGTGTTTGATGATGTTTAACATGATTTCTGCGTCTGAGTAGTGTTAGGGTTCTTGAGGATGGGATAGATTAGGTGGAGGATGTTAGTTTGCTAGAGTGTTTATGTTAGATTAACATGATTTCTGCGTCTGAGTAGTGTTAGGGTTCTTGAGGATGGGATAGATTAGGTGGAGGATGTTAGTTTGCTAGAGTGTTTATGTTAGATTCGTTTTGATTCCCTTCTGTATTAGAGTTTGATTAGCTAGTTCTTCTCTGATCAATTGGAACTGGGTCATAGACATTTCATACCCGAAAGGTATATGATGAAATGTCTGAACCAACTAGTGCCAGAGATTTACATGCTTAGCCCAAGAGATTGGTTGTCTAAGATGTTTATTGACATTAATGAGCTGTTTCTTTATGCATGTTTACTACATGTTTCATCAATGAGAATTGAGATTAGGAAGTGATGTAAACTTGATAGTTTCTGCCAAGAGATTGAATTGACTAGTATTAGAAGTTCATTGTCTAGGGATTAGAATGTTTGCAGTTTGATAAACACTCGAAGTAGATTAGCATACTCCACCTACATCAATAACCTCATCCTCGGGATTTTCTATCCATTTGTGTTTTCTGTTTAATTCTCTTGTTATTTACTTGTTCTGCTTTGTTTTCTTGTCAGTATCAATAATCGTTACGTTTTAGCTTATGTATGGTAGTCTACGTTTTACAGCCTTACATTTATCGCATGTTTAACATGTTCGCTTAGGATCACTGAAAACCAAAAATCATTTATGCTTGCTTGACTTAATCATTTCCGATATATCTTGATTGCTAGCATCACACCTGATTGGATTGATACCTATTGTACTGCAATGACATGATAGTACTCTAGAGAAATTGATAGCAAAATCCTAGTATCAAGAATCCTGAAACTTTGTTTGAAGAAGAGACGTGATGGTGATCAAAGAGAGACACCAAGTAGTAATGGAGGATGCCTGCCTCAGAGACGCCAATAGTAGATTTGATTTGGATGTTCTTTTGCTGTTTTTAATATATTGTAATGGTATCATAGAACTAGGATGAGGTCATAATTTTTTGTCAAATTAAATACTTTTATTCATATATGATGCAAATACATATTGTTTTAAGTTGTGAATATAGAGTACATATATAAATTAAATTAGGAATCAATTAGTTTTTATGACGACAAATGAAGATCCCAGCAACAGCAATACAAATCACCAAAGAATTTGGTACAAACACCACTATAATAATTATGTTGCTTAAAGAATGACATTTTCCATCATAATAATTAGTCAATATATTAATATAAAGTAAGAAATACTTTTTGGATGAACTGTGAAACATATTGCTCAACACAAAAAAATTATGTAGATGTAAAATAAAAAACAAGGATTTGTGTCATAGTAACTTTAACAAGGATTTGTGGCAATCTTACTTATGTGGTGCTTTGTACAGTAGAGAGGGAAACTTCTGAAACGATAGCAGGTTCAGAGAGAAGGGTTTGATAGCCAAAGTCAGCTCACTATGGGAATATCACTCGCACTAGCTCAGAGAGGGCCAGAGGGCAAGTTTAAAGTATGTCTCCCCCGTTGGAATTAATTGGAAAGAACAAACAGAAAGGGATTGAAACCCTCCTTCGATCCTTTGGTAAACAGGGGAAGTATACAAGAGCTGTGAAGAAACCATCGGAGAGGCAGAGGATCCCCTGGGTCCGGCGGAAGGGGCAGAAATTGCCTAAATTGGAAGTAAAAAGAGTCAAGATCTACTTTTTTTTAAACTCTTTTCTTCATTTAGAAGTCTCGAGAAGAGTGTCTGAGAGCGTTTTTAAACTAATTTCCTTATAATATGTATAAAACACTTAATTTCTATTTTCTTAATTTAAATTCATCGACTTTCAACTAAAATTTTTTTTTCCGAAAAAAGTAACGCTATAAGAATTAACTATCTTCTGTAAACAATTCGTGTTGTTTTTTTTTTTTTTTTTTAATCACAGTTGTGTTGTTTCTAATAACTATGGTTTTGAGCAGCTAAATAATATAAAATCTAATTATTAATTCTTGGGTAAATAAAACTGATCAATTCACTAAACTTAAGTTATATAGTTAAAATTCTAAACCTTAATCTTAAATTTTTGGATCTCAAGTTATAAACTCTTTCAAACATAAAGTACCAAAAAAAAGTAGTATCCCTAGTAATCAATCAAGCATATTTTACAAAACTAAAGAAGCACTTGACACAAAAAGGCGAATCAATGAGGTCCATACACGTCTAAGTTTAGCTGTAATGTTAGTACTCACCGTCCAACCACATCATCTCCTTAACAACTACGAAATTTCCATCTTATTCTCTTATTTAAAATTCAACTTCTTATTCATATATTCGACAGTGACGAAAAGAAAAGAAAAAACCTCAATCACTCTCAAAAAGCCCAAAACCCAGAATCATCATCATCATCTTCTACCTCGAGCTTTGATCAAATCTCTTGTAGTCTCCTTTGAGTTTTGTTACTGGAAAAAGAAACTTTTTTCTTTATGGGTTTTGGTTTTGTTCTCGAATCAGATCCTCGTTTCATCTCGATGACCTCTTCATCTTCTTCAACCTTTGTTTCTATAGTTCTCTGATAATTTTTCTCAGATGAGAAGTTCTAAGTCGCTTCTTCTCAACTTCTTCCTCTTCGTCTTCTTTATCAACCTGATAGGTACTGTTCTGTGTTTGTTCAACTTCTTATTCGAGATTTAGACTATTGGGTTTTGCTAATTTCGTTGATTGATCAAACAAAATTGGATCTTTCTGGTTTTTTCCTGATGTAATTGGTATCTTTTGTGATTCTTATGATTTGTTCCTGTGGTGATGAGTACTGTTCTGAGTAAAAGGTTTTATTGTTTCCAGAGTTTAGAGTTGAAGGAGGAGCATTTGTTGGAACCTATGGGATAAACTATGGAAGGATTGCTGATAACATACCATCTCCGGATAAAGTAGTGTTACTTCTAAAGCAAGCTAAAATTCGGAATGTGCGAATATACGATGCAGATCATACTGTTCTTGAAGCTTTCAGTGGGACTGGTTTAGACCTTGTGATTGGACTCCCTAATGGGTTTTTGAAAGAGATGAGTTCAAATTCTGATCATGCTTTCACTTGGGTTAAAGATAATGTTCAGTCTTTCTTACCAAAGACTCGGATCCGTGGTATAGCGATTGGTAACGAAGTTCTTGGAGGCGGTGATTCTGAGCTTTCGGGTGCTTTACTTGGTGCGGCTAAGAATGTGTACAATGCGTTGAAGAAAATGAATCTGGAGGAAACTGTGCAGATCACCACGGCTCATTCGCAGGCTGTGTTTGCTGATTCGTACCCGCCATCGTCTTGTGTGTTTAAAGAAAATGTTGTTCAGTTCATGAAGCCATTGTTGGAGTTCTTTCATCAGATTGGTTCTCCTTTTTGTTTGAACGCGTATCCTTTTCTGGCGTACACATATAATCCGAAAGAGATTGATATCAACTATGCTCTTTTCAAGCCAACGGAAGGGATATATGACCCAAAAACCGATCTACATTATGATAACATGCTTGATGCTCAGATCGATGCTGCTTACATGGCGCTGCAAAATGCTGGGTTTAAGAAGATGGAGGTTATGATCACTGAAACTGGGTGGGCTTCTAAAGGTGATTCAGATGAACCTGCAGCAACGCCGGAGAACGCAAGAACCTATAACTATAACCTCAGGAAAAGGCTTGCGAAGAAGAAAGGAACACCTCTTAGACCGAAAATGGTGCTCAAAGCCTATATCTTTGCATTGTTCAATGAAAACTCAAAACCGGGCAAGAGTTCTGAAACACATTTTGGACTGTTTAAACCTGATGGAACCATATCATATGACATTGGATTCAACAGTCTAAAGTCTGATGCTACCAAGTCACTCATTTCATCATCAAAGGTATGAAATTCTATGATTAAGGACGCCATAGTATATTTTTAGCTTGGTGATCATAGCCATTATGTATGATATATTTCTCTTTTAATCTCAGTCCGACTTTATATTCAGATTCAACCAAATGCATAGTGACCATCGTATGTGTCAATCTTCTGTGTTTTGTTGCAGGCAGCCCGTTACTATGCGGCATTGGTCATCTTTGTCTCGATTGTCCTCCTCATGATATAAATGCAGAAATGGTGTGAGCTTTGGTGCTAGGATCCTCGGATTTTGTATTACATTCGTAGCAATATGATATATTATTACTAGGTTTGAGAGGCTAACGAAATGGTAGGAGCACAAGTATATTGGAATTTTCGTACATGATAACCAAGAGATGTTCAGAAAAATATCATTGGCCAATCTTATATGTATACATCTTATGTAAACAACAATGTTTATACATAAATTTGGATCTCTGCTTTAGATTATTTGGAGTATATACAGAGGAAATTAATGGATATAGGGGATTATGGATATTGTGTTTCTGATTAGTCTACATGATCTACATCGGTTTCAGATTATGAGATAAAAGTGAAATCTTTCATAATCTGGCAGGCTTTTGTGCTCTGCGTCAGTTTCTGTGTGATATAAGACTGGTTTTGTGGAGGTAACGTAGAGGATAAAAATAGGTGTGAATGAAAGTGAAGCAAGTAATGTAGAGAAAAAAAAGATCCTAATGGTTTGGGGTTTCAGTTATGGAGAGTCTTCAGCCTAAAGAGAAGCGTATCCTCGTTACCCTCTTATTCTCTCTCCCTCCAAACACAAAAATACAAATTCTATACAACGCTCAAGAGCGACAAAATTCAAAAAATGTGGTCTTCTTCCGACAGTATTCTTCCAGGACCACCGACCCGAAGCAACCTATACGCAGCTGACCTGAGCCCCTCTGGCCTCCTAGCATTTGCCTCAGGTTCTTCTGTTTCTCTCGTTGACTCACGATCCCTTCAGCTTATTTCTACTGTCTCGCTCCCTTCCCCTATCTCCTGTGCATATTCAACGATTACCTCTGTTCGTTGGGCTCCTATTCCGGTCAAGCGTGATCTCTTCTACTCTGATCTCCTCATCGCTGTAGGTGATCACCTAGGCCGCATTGCTCTTGTCGACTTCCGCCTGCGTTCTGTCCGCCTATGGATTGAACAAAGTTGTGACAATGCTAGAGGGAAAACCCTTGTTTGTGGTGGCATACAGGACCTCTGCTGGGTATTGGCTCGGCCAGAATTCTACGTCCTCGCTGCAATCTTTGGTCCGTCTTCTCTCTCGCTTTACACGGATTCCGGACAGTTATTCTGGAAATACGACGCATCGCCTGAGTTTTTATCCTGCATTCGTTGTGATCCGTTTGATTCCCGCCATTTTTGTGTCCTTGGCCTGAAAGGGTTTCTTCTTTCTGTGAAAGTTCTTGGGATAACTGAGAACGACGTCCCTTTGAAAGAGTTTCAAATCCAAACGGATTGCAGCGATCTACAGAAGCTAGAACGGGAAGTCATTGCTAACAACAGTCACTCAACGTCTCCTGCATCAGCTGTTTTTCCTCTCTATTCAGCAAATTTCTCTTTTTCACCGCATTGGAAACACATCCTCTTCGCTATATTTCCCAGAGAGCTTGTAGTGTTTGATTTAAAGTATGAAGCATCCCTCTACGTAGTTGCATTACCTCGTGGCTATGCCAAGTTTGTAAACGTTTTGCCAGACCCAAGCCAGGAGGCTCTATACTGCCTTCACCTTGATGGTAGGCTCAGCATTTGGCGACGGAAAGAGTGAGCCAAGAAGTTTTCTTCTCATCTTTGTTTCTCTCTGTGATCTTTTCTCAATGTATTTTGTTTTTTCTTATTGCTTTTGCAGAGGGGAACAGGTCCATGTCTTGTGTGGAATTGAAGAGTTGATGCCAACGATTGGTAATTCTGTACCATCACCCTCTCTTTTAACTCTTCTAATCTCTCAATTGGATTCAACCCTCCAGAACATGAGAACTATCCATTCAAATGGTCTTTTGGATAGTTCGGAGACCGAGATTTCTTTTGATTTTAACAACGATGCTTTTCTTCGTTTTAAAACACATTTCATATCTATATCTGACGACGGTAAGATATGGAGTTGGATCATGACTTTTAATGGAGATGGGGATGAAGATTTTAACACTCAGACTAGTGACAAGCTGCTAGAGAGTCCAACTAATAGCAGTCAACATCTTCAATCAAATATATCTTTCGAGGTCTAATGATGGAGTTGAAAACTTGTTTGCTTTAGACTTCCCCTTCTTGATTTCTTGTGTTTTACAGAAAATTCATTTATACAGATCACATTAGTAGGACAACTTCAGCTTCTCTCGTCCACAGTGACTGTGCTTGCGGTACCAACGCCTTCCATGACTGCAACATTGGCTCGTGAGTTGCATCATTCTTTCAATGTTTTAATAAAATATGAAAATATCAAGTTCATGGATAAGAATGTATTGTATGAAGGTGGAGGGAATTTTCCTGCTGTAGTAGTTCCTCTTGTAGCTTTGGGAACTGAAGCTGGCACAATTGATGTTGTTGATGTTTCTGCAAACGCTGTCACAACAAGTTTCTCTGCACACAGTAGCAGTATAAGGGGTTTAAATTGGCTAGGAAACTCGAGACTCGTTTCATTTTCTTGTAGTCGGGTAACTAAAAACTTCATTCCATCAGATCTTTAATAACCTTTTGGTTCAGTTTTCCACTATATGAACACAACAATGTTGCTTTGACGTTGTCAGGTGAGTAAACGAACAGGTGGATTTATTAATAAGCTCGTCCTCACATGTCTTAGGAGTGGCGTCAGTAGAGGCTTTCGGGTTATGCAAAAGCCAGAGCGAGCTCCTATAAGAGCTCTGAGAGCTTCATCTTCTGGGAGGTTGGTCTCTTTACTTTTTCATAGGTTTCATAACAAGATAAAAGAGTCTTTAACAGCTTTTGTTTAGGTATCTTCTTATTTTGTTCCGTGATGCTCCCGTAGAAGTCTGGGCAATGACTAAAAGCCCTGTGCTGGTAAGTTATAGAACTAGTCAAGAAAATTCTGATGAAATGGGTTTGTACTTACACATTGCTACGACTTGTATTTCTTGTAGCTTAGATCACTAGCTCTCCCTTTCACAGTTCTGGAATGGACTCTCCCAACTATTGCAAGATTAGAGCAAAAGAGTCTTTCGAGACAGCCTTCAATGTCTTCTAACCAGGAAACAAATGCCACACCAGATGACATTGGAACACCACCAAAAGCATCAGATTCTAGTAAGCGAATTTCAGTAACAATTCGTCATCTTCCCTTGAAACTTATGATGAAAGATTTATTTTCTAACAGAAGTTGTAGGTGCTGATGGACTTCAAGATGATGCTTCTGAAAGTTTTGCATTTTCACTAGTAAATGGCGCACTTGGCGTTTTTGAAGTTTACGGTCGTAGAATTCGAGATTTCAGGTTATATTTCCGGGAAAACATCCCCACAGTATTATTTTCATCCACTAACTTGTTAATTTTGTTTCTTTTGTAAGACCAAAATGGCCGGCGTCTTCTTTCATTTCTTCTGATGGGTTGATTACTGCTATGGCATATCGCTTACCTCATGTTGTATGTATTCTAACCTCTTGATGCTATCTCAGACTGTTTTTAAGCAGTATCTTTAAAAATCACTTTAACAGGTCACAGGTGACAAGTTAGGGAACATACGGTGGTGGGATGTAGTATCCGGTAACTCCTCTTCATTTAACACATGCAGAGAAGGAATAAAGAAGATCAAATTTTCACCTGTCTTTGCTGGGGATATTAGCAGAGGACGAATTACAGTTCTATTCTTTGACAACACATTCTCCATCTATGATCTCGTAAGTTAACACTTTTACTCGTAGCTTTACTTGTGTTGCTTATAAACAAGTTTGTCACTGCATACTAAAGCCATGGCCTTTGTACATTTATTGCAGGATTCTCCAGATCCTTTGGCTATCTCTCTTATGCGGCCTCAAATTCCTGGCACCCTTATACTTGAGCTTGATTGGCTGCCCCTGCGAACTAGCAAATTCGACTCGCTTGTGTTGTGCGTTGCTGGAACTGATGGTAGCTTCCGCCTTGTGGAGGTTCATGTGTAAGTGATATATCTGCTTCACAGAGTGTAACCTTTACAATAGACTCTGAACGTTCTTGATGTTTCTTTATTGGATGCATACAGAGATGAAAAAATGACAAACCAAATATCATCCATTAAACCTCCCAAGGACAGATTTCGTCCTGTGCCTTTATGCACTCCTATGTTACTCCCCACACCACATGCACTGGTAAGGTTAACTCATGTTTGGTTTTGTGCTGATAAGAAGTACTTTAGCTTACAGTTTATTTGTAGGCACTGCGGATGATCTTGCAGCTGGGTGTAAAGCCATCTTGGTTCAACACTTCTAGTACATGTATCGACAAACGACCACATTCTCTTCCTGGAAGAACTTCATCTTCTAAAGATCTTCGAAGTTTCATGATTGATTTCCCACCGATTGGTGACCCTGCAGTGCTGGAAATGTTTCTTAAAGTATTAGAACCATATCGCACAGAAGGTTGCGTTATTTCTTCTCTATTTGTGACATTTTGTATGTCTTTTCATGAATAATGATGTTTTCTCATTTGTCTTGTTAAAATATTTGAAATGCTGATGGCTAAAGGCTGCCTACTCGATGATGAGAAAGCGAAATTATATTCCAGTCTAGTTAATAAGGGTTGTGCTGCAAGATTCGCTTTCGCGGCTGCAATTTTCGGAGAAACTTCTGAAGCACTTTTCTGGCTGCAACTGCCTTCTGCCATGAACCATGTAATCAACAAAACAGCAAACAAGTCTCCGGAGAAGCATTCTGATGAGACATCTATGCTAAGTAAAACTACATCAAAGGGACCATCAGCTTCAGGATTTGAGAAGAATTGTTCCTTGGTTAGTCATACTGTGGAATAACTAGAATTGAAAACTGTGCTTTACCCTTGTGAATTTTCTTTGGTTGGTGAACAGAGTGAAAGTCAACTCAGACTAATGGCCTTTGAACAAAAAGAGTTATGGGTATGCGCTAATGAGAGAATACCATGGCATGAGAAACTGGAAGGAGAAGAGGCCATTCAGAACCGAGTACACGAGTTAGTCCCCGTCCCATTATAGACAAAGAGTATACTCGAAGATTTGAGGCTAACTTACTTGGTGCCTTTGATGAACAGACTTGTATCAGTTGGGAACTTGGAAGGTGCAGTAAGTTTGTTACTGTCCACTTCTCCAGATAGCTCTTATTTCTATCCTAATGCCCTGCGTGCTGTTGCTTTATCTTCCACCGTGTCAAAATCCCTCGTTGAACTAGCGGTGAAGGTATAGCAAGATGCCAAATATCATCTCTGCTTGTGAATCACCTAAACCGAGGCTTTTTCTTGACATTGTTTTCATATGAAGGTAGTTGCAGC